CAATTTGCGGTGCGCTACACATATACACATATAAGCAACATTTGCATTGTGCAGCCGATGCTGTGCAATATGTTGTGTGCAACCCATGCCGTGCAACCTTTGTGGTGCACACTGTGAGGTGCAATCTGGGTAGTGCAGCCTATGAGGTACATCGAGGATTGTGCAGTATATGTGAACCGACACATGTGATGCAACCAAGGTGATGTAACCTATGCGGTGCAACTCGTGTATTACAATCCATGTGGCGCAGTCTGCATGGTGCAACCTATGGTGTGCAAGTGGTTTCAACAATCGAGTTGACACATCCCATGCTCTTGCAAACATCCCACCCACCCACCTGTAATTTGGTTTGCAAAACCCATGTGGTGGTGATTGCGATGCATGTTGGGCGTTGGCTGGTACATCTCTGCGGCCGCGCCAACCCTAGCACGCGCGCAGCTACCAGATATTTTGGCGCCACCGACGCGGCCGCGGTGGCACTGACCGCGGGGCGCCTTCCAGCGGGCACTTCACTGCGAGTCCGCGACCTGGGCGGGCGCGGTATCGTGGCAACACCGACAACTGTAGACACGACGATGATAGTGGCGATGCTGGTGGCGATGTTCGCACCGACGAAGGCGCGGCCAGTGTTGGCGCCGATGCTGATCACGCCGGCGACGATGACGGCGTCCTCGCGTCGGTGATGAAGGTCTTGGAAAGAGTTCGACATGCGCGCGCGGCCAACGCCCGAGAGGGGCCCGCATGGTTTCATTTGACACGGATCGTACCCCCCCAACACGCGGGCAAGGGTGTGCGAATGATGTCGGCATGCTGTGCGAGAGGCCCTCTAGGAAAAAATCGATGAACATGTTGAACAACCTATGGTTTTCTTAAGACTTCGCAAGAGCGCGCGTGCAAGCTCCTTTTGAAACCCGATGTTGCGAAACGTTTTTTCTTTTCATTTATATATATATACATATATATATATATATATAGATATAAAAAAATGTTTTGGGGGCATTCGGTTTTGGAGTCGCTACGGGACCGAAGGTTTTGGAAGGATTTTGGCATGCGCGCGCGACGACGCGCGCGCGTGCACTTCGTCGCGTTCTTTGCAACAAATTCTCGCGACGTCACGCACGCAAAAGGACGTTCGAACGATTTCGACATGCGCGTCGCGAAGCCCGCATAATAGTATGGTTTGGACATGTTGAAAAAACCCAGTGTTGTTTTGAGAATCCGTGTTGCGAAACCATGTGTTTTATTTGAATTGTTTTTTGGCACTCGATTTCGACATCCTTCCGGCACCTTAAATTTTTGAAGGATTTCGGCATGCGCGCGCGACGACGCGCGCGTGTGTATTTCGTCCCATTATTGGCCGGGGATTCTTGACAACTTCGGCTTTTTGATGACCGGGTGCGCGCGCACATTTTTTGCAGACGATGATTGGGGGGTGGTCGATACCGGGTGGGCTGGGATGGTATGGGCTCATATTTCGGATGGACGATGGGGCAGCATCATGTGTACATTGCGATCCAAAAAAGTGGACCGATACAGCCAGGGGGGTGGCGTGGTGCATCTTAATTCCTTGTTAGAGCGGATAATACATGTGGTGTAACATATTAGGTGCACTCTAGGTGACATATTTCATACGGATCATATATGTAATACAATATATGTCGTGTTTTCTAGGTGGTGTTATCTATAATGTGCCAAGCAGTGCAAAACAATGCAATGCAATGCAAATCGCGGCGGCGACGATGCTGCGTCGGGGCGGCGACGGCGGCCACATAGCCGCCAGACTGACGCCCAGGCCCAGACGATGGGCTGTGACGAAGAGGCGACGTGGCGACGACGGCGGCCACAGTCGCCAGACCGACGCGCCAGCCCAGACGATGGGCTGCGACGAGGCGGCGGCGTGGCGGCGACAGGGCGGCCACATAGTCGCCAGATTGACGCACAGGCCCAGACGATGGGCGGCGACGAAGCTGCGACGGGGCGACGACCGTGGCCACATAGTCGCAAGACAGATGCAAAGGCCTAGACGACGGGCGGTGACGGGGCGGCGACGGCGGTCACATAGCCGCCAGACCGACGCACAGGCTTAGACGATGCGCGGCGACGAGGGGCGGCGACGAGGCGGCGACAGCGACGGAGCGGCGACGGCGACCGCATAGTCGCCAGACCGACGCACACGCCCGGACGATGGGCGGCGACGGGGCGGCGACGGCGGCCACACAGCCGCCAGACCGACGCACAGGCCCAGCTCCTTATTCCAGAAGTACGAACCCCCAAGTGCAAGTTCTGTTTGGGGAAGAAGAAGGGGGGGTACAAGAGGAAACGCCCTAAACCACTCACGCTCAAATGGGCTGGTGGGATTTCAACGTTCTACGCCTCCCATGTGTTGTCGGAGAATATGGGGTCGGACGATCGCGCCGCACCGCCGATGCATCGCCGATCCATCGCCGATGCATCGTCGATGCATCGGCGACGTTTGCAATGCATCGGCGATGTCGGCGTGGTGAAAGTCGGGCTCCACGTCGAGCCGCATCGCCGATGCATCGGAGACTCGTCGCGATCATCCGGCTCCATCTACTCGGACCCCATCTAGGAGGCCTCCAAACGTCCGCACTCCTTACTCGTAACTTATTGGGCATCGCTGTCCCGCTGGCATCAGCTGGTTCATGGCTTGGCCGCTGCGCCCTCCTGTGCTGTCGACTGCCCATTATTTTTGCATCTTAGCATCCGGCGGCGAGCTGGGGGGAAGTGAGAGGGAGCAGGCCTTCTCAGAAGGCGGCTGGTCTTATCAGACGCCCTCCAGCCTTCTGATAAACCGCCTCCGTCTTCGGAGAAGGCTCAGAAAGCTTGTCAGAAGGCTGGAGGCCTTTCGAGTTTTTGAGTAGTCCCTCCCTGGCTGCCTTCCTCCCTGGGCGCACCACCGAAGCACACTCAAGCAGATGCCTTGGCAGGGGGTTGCGAGGGCATTGTTTGAAGCAATCTTCAGCCTGCCTCTCCTGGGCCCAGGGCCTTCGGCGTGATCCCAGAGCCTGGCAGAGAGCCAGAATCCTTCAGGAGTCCCGTCGCTCGGTAGAGTGCTGCGTTCTGGGACAAGGGGGGGGGCGAGACAGATGCCAAAGGCAACGTTAGGGGGGGGGACAAGCTCAGGGCCCGATAGCCCACCCCGCCCAGGAGCGTGCGGACTCGCGATCGGGGGCGTATCGCTGATCAGTCGGCGATGTATCGCCGATTCCAGCTCGATGTGACCCTTCTGAGCCAGCCCCCCACCTGACGTTCTCCCTCAAAGGAGGGAGCGAGTCAAATGCTGCGTTCCACTGATTGTCGCCCGTTGCAGCCCTTGCGGAAGGTACCCGAGGAGAGCGACCCGTGAGGGTGCTCTGGCCAGTCGTTGGTGACGACTGCGCTTGCCTCTCCGAGGGTCAGGACGCACGAGAGCGACCCGCGAGGGTGTTCTGGCCACCTGTCTGTGATAGGTGCGCTGTCCAGTCCCCAGCGGAAGCGACCCGAGAGGGTGTTCTGGCCACCTGTTGGTGACAGGTGCGCTTGCCTTCCGCTGGGGGCAGGGCCTCGGACATCAATTACCTTCTGAAGTTATTCGAGGGCATCTGCCCGAGTGGCTTTCTCCTGGTGGTTGCTGCTGTATCTGGTGCATAGGTGGCTGGGTTGCGGTTACCTGCTTACAATCGATATGGGTGGCAATGGTTGCCTGGCATCTTTGTATCACCGAGGACGTGTCTGAGGTGAAGTACCCCTGTCTGTGTGTGGAGCGGGCCAGGTTGTGAGAGTTGGTGTGCTGGTCCACGTCCTGCTCCGCTGCGCACTCGTTCCCAGGCCCCCGACGACTCGACTTTTTCGAGTTGTCGGGCCCCTCGGCCCTTCTTTCTCTGGAACGTTTTTTTTCGAATGGCGCCGTGCTCCGATGGTTCCAGGGCCCAGACAAATCAGCCCCTGGGAGCCGAACGAGCAGAAGACTTGCGGCTTGATATTTTCGAGTCCTTCGAGGTCTGGCTTCTTCTTTCATCACCCAACAAGCCACCCCATCCCAACCCGAAGGCCCCAAGCTGCCCTCCATTCCCAGTGGGGGGGGGTCGTCGGGGAACAATGGAAACGTACGTATGGCACCCGTGCACCCCCCCGACCAGAAGTTTTGGTTTTCGGTTTGGGCTGGGGTGGTCTGGTAGGTGGAACTTCCCTACCGCCTCCGCTGCCTCGCCCGATGTGGCCTCGAACCAGACTTGCTGGAGCTCTCGGCGCCGCCACGCTCCCCGGGGAGCAGAGGCGGGGCTGCCGGCAACCCGCCCGGGCCTTGGGGCGAAACGCGCGGCGGTCGCGGGGGTGGGGGCAGCCTCGCAGGCGATGGGCGAGGCAGCGGCCGAGGGCCCGGCTCAAAGAGAGAGAGAGAGAGAGAGACCTTGCTTGAGTGTGTGGGTCTGCCACCGTGGTGACCCAAGGAGAGAAACAAAGACAGATCTCATGCCCTGCTCTGCCGCCTCACCGCCGGGAGGAGGACGGGGCGAAGAGGAGGCCCCGCTTCGAGAGTGTTTTGGTTTACCCTCTGGGCCGTAGTGCGCGCTGTGCCCCCTCCCCCCGCCCCCCGCCTCCCCTTTCCATTCCCCCGTAACGTGACGCTCGCCCCCCCTCCCCCCTGCGCCCCCAGCATTGCCGCAGTGCGGCCGGCACCAGAATCTGTGGTGCCAGGCCCGCACGGCGGGAGGGGGGGGTGGGGTCACGTGATGCCCCCCTCCAGCCCCCCCCCGCCCTAACGCCCGCTATCGCCGCGAGCAAGAACATGTTCTCCCCACTTGTCGATTATCCTCAGAGCGTGCGTTGGCCCACTGTGTGCGTGCCACGCTCAGCTCAGCCGATCATTCTCGGCTTGCGCCGGCCCTCGTAACACCGCCTGCGTCGTACTGCAAGGCTTGGGCTGATGAGCACACGTTGGCGCTAACACACGGTCTGAGGACCATGGACCCACCTCGGCTCCCCTGCTCGCGGCACCTCCTGCTCGAGAGCGCCGCGCCCGCCGCCGACCGCCCCGCGCCGCTCCTGGCTCCCCAGCGCCTCGCCGTCCCGCAGCGCCCATGGCGCCCGCCAGCTTCGTCGGCCGCGCCGTGCAGGACTTCCCGCTCGAGGTCGCGGGCGCCACGGGTGGCGCCGAGCGGACGACGCTGCGCGGACTGCAGTCGGCCGCAGGGCTCCCGGTCGTGGTGGACTTCTTCGCCCCGTGGTGCAAGGCCTGCCCCGCGGCGGCGAAGCACCTGGACGCCCTGGCGTCGGGCGAGTACGCGGGGCGCTGCCTCTTCCTCCTGGTGTGCGTCGACGGCGGTCTGGACGAGGCCCGCGAGTGGACGGCCTTGAACGGCATCACCTCCTGCACGGTCGCCGCCGCGGACGACGACGAGGATCTGATGGCGAGGCTCGGGGTGAAGGGCCTCCCGCACCAGGCGCTGATCGCCAGCGACGGCGTCGTGTTCAGGAACTACGACGTGCAGCTCCCAGCGGACCTCGACGCGCTGCTCGGGGGTGCAGCGTCAGAGCTGTCGGCCCCCAAACCTGCGAACTTCGCCGACGTGTCGGCTCGGTTCCGCGAGCTGCAGAAGGACGAGCCCATCCTCAAGGAGAACCCGAGTCGGTGGGTGATGTTCCCGATCCAGCACTCGGACATCTGGGAGATGTACAAGAAGCACGAGGCCTCGTTCTGGACTGCGGAGGAGATCGACCTCGCGCAGGACAACAGGGACTGGGACAACCTCACGGCGTCCGAGCAGCACTTCGTGAAGCACGTGCTAGCGTTCTTCGCCGCCTCCGACGGCATCGTGCTGGAGAACCTGGCGGCCCAGTTCACCAATGAGGTGCAGCTGCCGGAGGCCCGTGCCTTCTATGGCTTCCAGATGGCCATGGAGAACATCCACTCGGAGACGTACTCGCTGCTGATCGAGCAGTACATCCGGGACCCCGCCGAGAAGGAGAAGGTCTTCGACGCGATCCACACCATGCCGCCCATCAGGCAGAAGGCCGAGTGGGCAGTGCAGTGGATGAGCCCAGAGAAGACCAGCTTCGCCGAGCGCGTCATCGCCTTCGCGGCCGTGGAGGGAATTCTGTTCAGTGGCTCGTTCTGCGCCATCTACTGGCTCAAGAAGCGCGGCTTGATGCCGGGCCTCACCTTCTCCAACGAGCTGATCTCGCGCGACGAGGGCCTGCACACCGAGTTCGCGTGCCTCATCTACAGCAAGCTGGAGAACAAGCTCCCCGAGGAGGTGGTCCATGGCATCATCCGCGGCGCGGTGGAGACGGAGCGTCACTTCATCTGCGAGGCACTCTCTTGCGACCTCATCGGCATGAACAGCGAGACGATGACCCGGTACATCGAGTTCGTGGCGGACCGCCTCCTGTCGGCGCTCGGCTGTTCGAAGTTGTACGGCGTCTCCAACCCCTTCGATTGGATGGAGCTCATCTCGCTCCAGGGCAAGACCAACTTCTTCGAGAAGCGCGTCGGCGACTACCAGAAGGCTGGTGTGATGTCATCGACGGCCGCGGGAGGCGAGGAGGCCAAGGGCTTCGCCCTGGACGTGGACTTCTGAGCAGCGCTGGAGGGGCGCCGCAGGGAGAGCGAGAGGCGCGACGGGGGAGCGGGCGGTCGACGAGCCGAGCGTTTGCTGCTTCGCAGCGGCGCAGCCAGCGGGGCGAGCATCCGACGTCCGTGCTCGCGGCCGGAACTGATTTAGAAGCTGGCCCCCCCCCCCAATGGCGGGGGCCCTCGGGAAGTGCAGGGGGGGTGTTGCACGCGGCTTCGCGGACGGCCAGCTCGGGCGTGGGGTGCCTGGCGACGGTCGAGGGTGCAAAAAAGAGCAGGGCGGGGAGTCTCTCTCAGCACGCGGAGCCCCCTCCTTGCACAGAGGCGGTCCTGGGCAGCGACGCGACGGGGGCTGAGCCGTGGTGCGCGCGGATTGATTAAATCGGTTGGGGCTCAGTATGTTGCGCCATCGGGGGGAGTCATTTGGGGCAGTAGGGTGACGAGTGTCTTTCGTTGCAGGTGTCATCGCGCGCAGTCTTCATCGTGCTCACCGCCATCGTGGAGTGTCCTCTCCGTAACCATCACGTGTTCAACCTGGTAATGTCTGGCTCAGGATGATGGCGCCGACTGTATCCGTAGATGCAGCTCCACCCGCCGATCGTCGCCCAGTGATTGCTGCCATGCTCGCAGCGCCGAGGCTCGAAGAGCCAAAATTGCATAAACATCATTTCTCGGAGGTCAGCGTGGATTTCTTGGATCGACGTTTAGCCCTCCTAGCGGCGTCTCCAGCGCCGCCTCTTGCGCGCGGAGCACGCCAGGGAGGGATATCCAGCGCCAGTCCAAAAAGTCCGCGTGGACCTCCGAGAAGTTCCGTTCGTGCATTTTTTGTTTTTTCCCTTCTGCAGGCAGCCGCCAGGGTTCGCCGAGACCCTGACGCAGATCTCCAGGCTCCACGAGCAGCTCCTGCAGCAGCACGAGGACGAGGTCGTGCACCTCAGGCGCGAGTGCACCCGCCTCGCCGAGTTGCAGCAGTCGGCCCCGCCCGACGCCGAGCCACCGGGACCGGGAGACGCCGCTGGGCCAGCGAGCGATTACCAGACCACGGAAGCTCCAGCCCAGGGTCCACTCAGCACGGTGGTCAAGGGCAACGTTAGAGGAGGAGGAGGAGGAGGAGGAGGAGGAGGAGGAGGAGGAGGAGGAGGAGGACCAATGAGGAGGGAGGAGGGGAGGAAGGAGGAGGAGGACGAGGAGGACGAGGAGGACGAGGAGGACGAGGAGGAGGAGGAGGAGAGGAGGAGGAGGAGGAGGAGGAGGAGGTGGAGGAGGAGGAGGAGGAGGAGGAGGAGGAGGAGGAGGAGGAGGAGGAGTGGAAGGATAATTGGAGAAGGGGGAGGAGGAGGGGGATGTCTCGGATCGAATGTTTTCGGACGTTTTCTTGAATTTGCGTCCCAGGGTGTTTTCCACCAGCTTCGCCTCGTCTCCAGCGTTCCGGGGGTGCCAGGATCGTCCCGAACGGCCGCCAGAGAGCCGAGTAATGGCCCGAAAACCAGGGGGGCAACATGATGGGGGAGCGAGTACGATGTCTGGGGCAACGTGAGGGAGGGGGGTTTGCTCAGGGGCGCATGCATCGATCCCCAATCGCCCGTTCATCTCCGATGGGGGCTCGATAGCCCACCTCGCCCATGAGCGTGTGGACTTGCTATCGGGGGCCTCCCGCCGACCCATCGGCGACGTATCCCCGATTCCAGGTCGATGCTTCCCCCTCCCCTGAGCCAGACCCCCCTGACGTTCCCCCTCAGGTGGAGCACCCGCAAACTCCGCAGATTCACTTACGGCGGGAGCCCATCGTGTGCAACATGCCCCGTCTGGTCTCCGGCGCCTCCTCCGACGCGTCCCAGCCGAGGACCCCGGGCCAGCGCCCGTCGGGGTGGGGCGCGGCGGTGAAGGCAGCAGAAGAACAAAAAGCTACGTAACAAGCGTATCGACCAAGAACCAATCGACACCACCCCGCCCGACCCGCTGGGTCGCAGGTGGGTCGTAGGTGGGATGCTGTCGTGGGTGGGTCGTAGGTTGTCGTGGGCGGGCAAGTGCCTCCACTTTATAACATCGCTGGGTCGTAGGTGAGGTGGCGTCGTTTGGCTTCTGGTCCAGCATACTTTCTCGGAGGCCTGGGCAGGTTTCTCGGGCTCGGCGCTGCACCCCTCTGCTGGCGTCTCCGGCGCCGTCCCCGAGTCGTGCGCCAGGGGAAGTGGGGGGAATGCCGACCCAAGAAACCCACGTGGGCCTCATAGATTCATGATTCTGCAGTTTTTTGTTCTTCTAGTCCCGTGGCGACACCCGCAATGCAACGATGCCGCCCCAGGCGCCTGTTGGGAGGGTCGTCCTCGTCGTCGTTGTCGTTGTAGTGGTCTCTTCTGCCTGACGTCTCGATTGGACGAGCGGGGGGGGGGTAGGACATCTGCTGCATGCAGCTGGTCCCGGCCCCGCCGCCGGGTCTTCTCCTCGATATATTGGCTCATCAGGCGCCTGCAGGCGTGGGGAAACCAACCGTGGAAGCTGATTCGCTAGCTTCCCCTTTTCGGGTTGACCCAAAAGGGGGTCCAGCGACAAGGGGGTGGTGCAATAGGTTTGGTGCAAAAGATATGTGGGGTTGCAATACATTTGGGGCGTGCAATACATTCTGGGGCGCAAATGTATCGCTGGATTTTCGCGTGCAACGCATTAGTTGCAATACAATGCAATACAATTCTCCAGCGCAATACGTTTGCAACACAATTGCCCCAAATCTATTGCACCACCCCCTTGCAGCTGGACCCCCTTTTGGGTCGCCCAGATCTATAGTACCCCCCTCTCTTCGTCCGACCCGACTTTGGGCGACGCGCCGCGCTGGGCGCCGCCAGGCCCGGTCACGGGTTCCCAGACTGGCGCGCGCACCCTCGCGGCCAGCCCACCTCGTCGGCGCTGTGCGCGCGCACCCTCCCCCCCAAGCGCTCGGCGGCCGGCCCACCTCTCGCAGGGTCCAGCTCGATCAGATCGGTGAGCACCTGCCGAAGCGTCCGAACAAGTAACGATTCCGTGTGCCTCTCAGCGGGAGCGCGACAGCCAACCCCAAGCGAGCGCGCCCGAATTCAGCGATTCAGGGGCCATGCACAGAACAGTGCATGCTGCTCTCTCCCCGCCCACACCCGAACGGGCACGGTAAGGGCCGCTGCATACGGCGGCCCGTAGTCCGGCCATTGCAGAGGGTAGGGCCGTTGAGCGCAGGCTTCACGCCCTCGAGGCGGCGGCCTGGGAAAAGAGGGAGGGCGAGGCAAGAGAGGCAATGGTTCAGGTGGCGGATCGCTCCTTCGGGGCGTGGGTCGACCAGCAGCGCCTTGCACCGCTTCTGCCAGCCCGCCTTCGGCGTCGGCTCGGTCACCTTGCACCAGCGCCTTGACCTTCAGGCCCGGCTTCGACAGCTTTCCCTTGCAGACGCCATTGGGCATCCTGAAGGTTAGCGAGGAAACGGTATCGGAGGCTGCCAGAAGGGTTCATTGGACATGGTTGGTTTCGCTGGACTCGAGGTCCCCCCAGCCCTACCTTAGGCATTCCAACACGACCTGAGGCGCCCCAGCAGCTGTCGAAATCACCATTCTTGAACCAGACCTTCTCGCCGTCCTCGATGGTGGTCGTACCAGTCCCGCCCCAATGCGCACAGCCTGGTCGGAGTGCCTGCGGTCCGTGTTCGAGGCCCAGAGGCGACGCCGCACTTGCAGACCCCCGCTGAAAAGGCCCGCGGATTTTTTTTCTCCTCGCACCCCGTCTTTCTGACGCTTCGGTGAGTATTCTCGCGGCTTCTCGCGCGCCGTGCGTCCGCCGTGTTCTGCGTTTGTTCGGCCGCCAGAGTAGCGCGCCAGGGGGGTGACCGCCGATGCGTGGGAGGCTTTGTTGCAATATGCGAGGGAGGCGTGCGCGGCGCATCCCGGCCTAGCAGCCATCATGGCGCCTGTGTGGCCTCCTCCTCCTCCTCCTCCTCCTCCTTCTCCTCCTCCTCCTCCTCCTCCTCCTCCTCCTCCTCCTCCTCCTCTCCGCACGACAAGAATTAGCGTGCCTGGCCTTGCCGGAAGTCGGCCTAGAGCAAGATTTGTGCATGTCCGATTTTCCGCGGCATGGGTCCAGCCTCCCCCTCCATCGTCGTCGTTCCTCATGGTTCTTTCCCAATGCTTCAGTTTGACTTGTCTCACGTTCTCGTCTGCGATGGTGCGTCGCTGTGGAAGCCCGCTGCCACGGTCATGAGGGCGCCCTGCTTGACAGGAGTTGGGCGATGACCAGCGAGGCTTGCTCGCCTCATTTTCCTCCTCTCCCTCCCTCTTCTCTTTCTCTCTCTCTCTCTCTCTCTTTCTTTCTTTTTTTTTCGCTCTCTCTCCTTCTCTCCTTCTCTCATCACGGTGTGTTGGACTTTTTCCCAACCATCCTGTGGTGTTGGGTCTTCGTTTTGAAGAGACGGTGCCCCGCGTTCCTCTTCTCCTCCTCCTCCCCCCCCTCCCTCCTCCATCATCATCATCATCATCATCATCATCATCATCATCATCATCATCATCATCATCATCATCATCATCATCATCATCCTCATCATCATCATCATCATCATCATCATCATCATCATCATCATCATCATCATCATCATCATCATCATCATCATCATCATCATCCACCATTCACACATGGCCCCATAGGGAGCTCCACCGAAGGCCCCAGTGGCAGGGTCCGCATGCCTCCCCACCACCCATTTCGGCACACCCCTCACACGTTTCGTGGCCCCATAGGGAGCTCCACCGAAGGCCCCAGTGGCTGCGTTCGCATGCCTCCCCACCACCCATTTCGGCACACCCCTCACACGTTTCGTGGCCCCATAGGGAGCTCCACCGAAGGCCCCAGTGGCAGGGTCCGCATGCCTCCCCACCACCCATTTCGGCACACCCCTCACACGTTTCGTGGCCCCATAGGGAGCTCGAAGGCCCCAGGGGTCCGCAATGCCTCCCCACCACCCATTTCGGCACACCCCTCACACGTTTCGTGGCCCCATAGGGCAAGGCCCCAGTGGCCCCGCATGCCTCCCCACCACCCATTTCGGTACACCCCTCACACGTTTCGTGGCCCCATAGGGAGCTCCACCGAAGGCCCCAGTGGCAGGGTTGCCTCACCCATCGGCGTTTCGTCCCCACCACCCATTTCGGCACACCCCTCACACGTTTCGTGGCCCCATAGGGAGCTCCACCGAAGGCCCCAGTGGCAGGGTCCGCATGCCTCCCCACCACCCATTTCGGCACACCCTCACACGTTTCGTGG